CATGCATTATTTTTTTGTATACATTCTTTCCTCTCATCCAATGATAATGCCTTATTGCATTTGAAACTCATATGGTCTTTACCACAAAATATGCATGAGATGTCGTTTTTGGTACCTGAAGTGCTCGCGTTAAACGCGTTATGACCCGATGGTATGACATGGTTATCGATATGGTTTGGCTCTCTCTGTCTTGTTGGACCTGTGAATCTACCACTGCTGTTAAAGTTTGGCCTGCTTGGGCCTTCAATGAACCATTGGCTAGAGGCTCTCTTTATATCTGCCTCTTTTTCAAGAAATGCTAACATACGTTCTAATTCAGAGGCTGATGTTGCTGCGTTAATGTTTGCCTCCCTCAAGAATTGTTCTTTCATATATACAGGTAAAGGCGTCATAATCATAGGCAATAGGAATGTACTGAGTTCGAGATGGGTTTTTCCAATTGCCACCAACGCATTAATATTTTGAGATAAAACAGACGAAAAATATTGTAACTTGCCTTTTTTTCGAAGATCTATGGTTTGCACCAATTTGCAGATTTCCTGAACATGTTGTCGCTCCGCATCCGTCTTGTTACCGAATTTCTTCTCGATCAGCGCCCGAGCGACTTCGTATTGATCTCCCGTAAAATCCAAGTGTTCGATCTCTCTCGCTGCTGCTCCGCTTAGAGCTCCCTTCAACGCTTTGAATTTCTCGATCGGCAGCTTCTTGGTGTTGTGAACGTAGACATCGAACAGCTGCGACCAGCTTCTATATTTTTTGTAGTCTCCCGAGAAGGATGGAATCTTCGTCGGCTCCGTTTGAACGATGATTGTTGGTCCTTGGTCTCCTTTCGTCTCTACTTTAACCGTCTTTGGCAAAGAATTGAGCTCTAAAAAGGATTTGATCTGCACCGTGTATTCGATAAGTTCATCTTTGAACTTGCATTGGGATTCGATCTCCTTTTCAGCTTCTTCTGGTTTGACGTGGAATGTCAACTCTTCTATACTTTTGTCTAAGTTTGACAATTCCTTCCCTAGTTCGTCCAGTGAAGCAGCAAATGTCTTGATTTTCAGCTCTTTATTCGCTGTGCTCAGTTCTTTGTTGTCTAGTGTGTTTGCGATCTCCTTACCCTTTTCTGTAAGTCTGGATCGTAACACTTTGCGAACCGTTTTGTATTTCTCTAAGTCTTGAAGTTCACTCATTATGATATATTTTTTTTTTTTCGATTATTCAAAGAAACGGAAAAGGGAGACGAGTGACTATTAACTCACATGGGTACAATAGGTTGAGTGCTATTGTTGATCCGCTTGCGTTCTGGTGGGCGCTAGATGACCCCGTACAGGAGTATAGTTGAATACACGCTTCCGTTATGGTGGACGGGACAGGGACCCCGACAGGAGTATACTTGATACACGATCAGCTTGCGTTCTGGTGGGCGCTAGATG